ATATATATATATATATATAGATAGATAGATACATAGAAAGATAAATGGATCTTTTGATAATGTATCAAATCTTAGTATTAGTCAATCTTGAGTAGATAAGCTAGTCTTTTTTTTATAATAGTTCTATTAGATCTCAAAAAGATATTAATAAATTTCCTTACTTTTAATAAATTGCAAAAATTGTTTTATTTATTAATAAAAAGTTTAAACTAAACTATTTTTTCACACAAAATTTAACCATATAATTTTGTTTACATAGAAATAATGTTATATATACAACTTAGCAGTTAAGTTTAAAGAACAAACTAAATATGCATCTGTCCAATTTTTACTATTTTTGTTATTTCATTAAAGTTAATTATATACTGTTGTGTGTAAGTGAGATAGGTTAGGCCAAGTGACACTTAATTTAAGCATATTAACTGGTAAAAGAAAATAAATACATTTTTTTAATAAAATAAAAATATAAAATTATATAGCTTTTGTTAAATATAGTTTCACATTCATCATTTTTCAATAATTAGTTTTCTTAAATACTTCAAATTTAATTAATAAATTTGGACTACAAAATTACGTTTTATCTTATTGGTTAGTTTTTATTAAATAGAAATTAGCTACATTTAGGTAATAGTATTTAAACATTAAAATATGTATGAATTATTAGGAGGAGTTCCTAAGAAAGGGAAGGACAATAATGGATTTTGAATATAGACTCACTCACATTTCATAGAATTTTGGTTAAGTTGGACAGAATTTTGCTTCAATATAAATTACAACGTCTCTACTGATAATATATTACTTGGTTAATTTCATAAATTATTGCAATATATTAATTATATGTTGTATTACGAGTAATATAAATCTTAAATAGTTATTTTTTAATTTTGTTATTGCCAATTAAATGAAAATTAGTTACATTATTGTATTTTTAAAGATTGAAAAACTTGATTTAACCTTTTATTTAAATCATAGAAGTAATTGTTTAATGTTTTCTACATAAAATATTGAAATACTGTTATTATTTCATTATTTTTAATATTTTTTATTTCATAATATTATTATTTTTACGTTTAATCAATTATTTAATATTAATAATTTAATAATTATATTTGTCAGTCTGTATACTTAAAATTCATTTATTTTAATCCATACACATTATTTTTATCTTAACCTTTACGCACACCATTTTAATGTCTATCATCTAAACTTATAGTGACTAAAAAAGTTTAAAATAATATATAAATATTAAGTTATATTATTTTTAATATAGTAAAGTTTATTAAGTTATAACTACCAATGAATAATTAAATCTTATTAATTAAAATCTATAAGATGTAACCAAACTAGATTAACAGTTATTCCATATTGATTTAAGAATTAAAAATTATATATCAAACTTTTAATTAGTGAAATCACTATATACCTAATTAAAAATTTAAATTTTGAGTCACGTACGTCGATAAATATTTTAGTTTCCTATTAGCACTTTTATGTTTTATTTATTTATTCTACACTCTTTTCTCTCTCATTGTTTTAAACATATTTTCAATTTTAAATAAAAAATAATATTTTGACACGGCTAATTTTTTTCATATTCATTTCACAGTCCCTTTTCTTATTTTTTACTTTCTTCTTTTCTAAAATTACAAAAATTCACTTTTTTTACAACTATTTTATCTTTTGTTAAGTGTGTCAAATTAATGTAAATATCTCTCATGCCATTATTATTTTAAATAGTCAAAATAGATATAATATATAAATCTTAAGAAAAGAAAAGTATATGAGGTTTGGCATAAAATTATGTTAAGGTTACAATTTTTGTCCCGAAGCAATCATATTATCCTTTATTTACAATAAATTATTTTCTGATTATTAATTACTGTTCAGGTTAATAATACAACTTTTCAAATATAATTAATAAGAATTTTTGTAAAATGTGTCGTATACATATATCCTTATTTCGTTCCTTCTTAAAAATATAATGTAATGATGAACATGAACTCTAATGTGAGTTGGAGAAGTAAATATCTGCGTATTTGGTTTTGAAGAAGAAATTGGTAAGATATGTAACATTTATTTACAATTTAAATATTCAGAAAAATGAACATGAGCTACCTTCCAGACATAAGGTGCACTAAAGCTTGGTTTTCATAGAAGGAACCAACATCCCAATCCTCAGTTGCAGATGAAAGTGTCATTAAGGCAACAACAATTGATCTCATGCTTGGCCTAAGTTGCGGGTTTTCATGTGTACATGCTTTCGCAAGCTGAGACACCTGCAAGACACCAAAATAATCACTCTTTCTCATACATTTTATGCATCAAAAATCATATCTAATACAATATATTCATGATAATTATTCTTGAGATCTACATGTTTACCTTACTTTAAGATTGTTGATGCATTTTAATTAAATTGATTACCTACCTTAAATACAGAGTCAAGAGGGTAGTTATCACCAAGTCTAGGGTCAACAAGTTGACGAAGATCTTCTTTTGGATCTGAGAGACCAAGAACTTCTTCAAACTGCATTTTGTAAAACAAGTCCAAAATTTAGCAATGAAATATACAAGTGATGAGTTACAACTATTGTTGAGTTAAGAGCAGCATGAAAAAACAACCAAGGCGACCAGTCCTTTTGATTCACCCTCAGGATCGTTTGTCTTGACAATAGCTTCCTTGCCTGAGATGAGTTCATATAGAACAACTCCGAAAGCATATACGTCTACTTTCGAGGAAACATCGCCATATTGTGCATATCTACATCAAAACCCCCACATTTGGTCAAAATGGTCATGCTGTTATTGAACATCAAGCGAATAAAACTTCAAACACTTCCAGTACTACATAAAATAACTCAATCATGCATCTACTGTACAGTTGTATGCTATAGATTGAAGTTTCCCGTGTATGAAGTGAGAAAAACAGAACATTGTTATCGGCGATGCTACAAAAATAGGTTCAAACTTTGTAGAAATGAAAGTTAAGGATAAGTAGTTCCTTACTCTGGAGGCATATAACCAAAGGTACCCACAAGACGCGTGTGTAATGAAGAACTACCATACTCAGTCAATTTTGTGAGACCGAAATCTGCAACCTGTGGGAAGAAGATTGGACTCGGTATTCAAATTTTATTTATGAAACATCTAGAAATCTATTTACAAACCTTTGCACGAAAGTTTTTGTCTATCAAGATGTTTGCTGATTTAATATCTCTGTGGATGTAGACAGGAACTGTATGCTCATGGATGTATTCCAATCCTCTTGCTGCATCAAGAGCAATTTGCACTCTAGCTCCCCATGTTAACGGATCCCTCCCTGCAACCAACTACATTCAGACCCTTGAAATCAAAATGATTTCATCATTTTACGATCAAGTATATTTATGAGTAAGACAAAAGAAACCTGAGCCTCGCAAATGTTGGCTTAAATTGCCGTTCTCAATATACTCATAAACCAGAAATAAGGAGCCCTCAACACAATATCCAATTAGCCGCACCTGTATAGAATATGTTTGCAAGAAATCATGTATTGTGGAAATCCACAACATTGAATGTAACAACTGTATAGAAAACATGATAACAACTACTCCACCCAGGAGTTTTTTTTTTTCTTTTTCTTTTGTGGGGTTATGACTGTACATTTATTAAGGTAAAAGATTTTAGTATCAGCACAGCGATAATGTCATACCAGGTTCAAGTGATGGACATGCGTTAGAACCTTGAGTTCTGCAAGGAATTCATTTGATGCTTGCATATCCATCTTTTTAATTGCAGCTTTCTGCAAAAAGGAATAAATGAAGCGTTGGTAATAACTTGAATTTTCCATTTCTTACAAAATATCAGTCTTAGACCTGCATGATCAGACTTTGAAGAAATAGGATTCAATACAAGAGATAAGTATATGTTAAGCTTAAAGAAAACGCTAGTCTTATTAATCCTAATTTTAAAAGTGAGTTTAAAACATCATGACAAACCTCATTCCGAAGCTCAGCATAGTAAACAGATCCAAAGCCACCTTGACCAATTATATTAGCCACACTAAAGCCATCAGTGGCCTTGTCTAGCTCCCCATATGAGAACTCCACTGACTTGTCCACTGTAATCCCTGTCATCCTTGGAGAAGCAACAACAGAAGATTCCGATGCCTTGTCCAAGCTGCTTCCCAAACCTAAATCCATATATCAGATAAGACCTACAGTTTCACATTTCATTTAAACTGAAAAAACCCTGAAATCTAGAATCAGTATTCCAAGTAATAAACAAGAGTTTAATTCTAACACTCCATATAAATATTTTTACATTATTAACTAATTAGAAATCACCCTTCATGCAATTTTTTAAGTAATAACAATAATCTTACAACATGTGGTAATCAATGATTGTTGACAAGATAAGGCAAAGAGATATGTTACTAAATCATGCATCATTGAACAGTGTGCAGGTAAATATTTATGAAGGATAATTGATAAAATAAGAAAGGGGTGTTTTAGAAGTAGCATTGAAACAAAAGACATACCAATACCATGATAGAGTGGACTACAGTGATCTTCAGAGGCTCCTGGGAGTGTGAGAAGGGATACCTCAGCCACTTTTCTTCTTCTGTGTAGTCCAACATATAGAACAAGTGCCAACATTAAGACCCCAGCAGCTCCTCCAACCGATATGCCAGCAATGGCTCCACCAGATATTCCTACTTAAATTTGCATAACAATGTCAGCATGTCATAGGAATTTAACCCACCATGATTTATGAAGCAGCAGTTTGCAGTGTCCACGTCACCTGATCTGCAAAAGGTTGGAACAAACATAGGATATTATTTCAAAGAGTAAATGTCAAAAATCTAATTAAATTGGCAGACATAGGATTGGGATGTAAACTTAGTATAAAATTCAAATTACCTCAGCTTCATAGGTGGAAAGTTTCCATTTTCATCTGCAAAATAGGATTTAAAATATAGAGCATCAGAAGATAATGTATCAAATAGCAATTCTAAACAAAAATAAGAGAAAGCGAACCCATTGATGCAGTGTCTTCTTGCAAATGAATTTGTATCAAATTTGGACTGTCAAAAAACCAGTTGGCACACATGCATTTTGTATTAACTCTTTAAAAGAGAACATTAGATGATGATTCTCGTACTGTATATATGCTTTATTACAGTAATTTATTCATTATTTTTCTGTGGGAAATATCAGTCTTACATGGTGACCGTTTGTGCTTCAACCATTTAAGCATAGAAAATGAAAATGGAATACGTAATTCTAGTTCTAAACCAGCATTTGTTTCTCAGATGTTACCTTTCCTTCTTTTATACTTTTCTCATACAAACAATTATTTAAATCAGTATGTAGGTGTGTTTGTTGTGAGGTTTAGTTCGATCTTGAACTAAAAAGCGTTCGAACCAATAAAAAAGAAACATGAAGTGTTCTAGTTCGAGTTTTAGAATATTCCAAAACGATTTTACTATGCATAGTATATAACTACATTTTTGTTCTTCTCAAACATAATATTATAACAATCACAGTGAAATAATTATGCCAAAAAGCCAATTAATTTTGCACTATACTAATTAAAGTACAAAAAATTTTAAAAAAGCCAATGACATTGTAAAATTATTTTTTTAAACAGAAATAACACAAAGAATAGTTCTAATTAATAAACACAAAAGCTACATCTATATAAATTAGAATGTAATCAAATTAAATAAATAGTTCAACTAAATGAAATTTAGTTATATTTAATATATATATATATATATATATATACCATAACTATAAACACAGTAAAACTAATGAATTCACTTGATTTTTTAATTGTTTTTAAAATATACATATCAATAAAACTAATTAATTACTTCGTTTTTTTATTTTTAAAAATGTTTTACCAATTAAGCTACTTTTTTTCTTTTTATAGATACTCAGCTATACCTATTAGTGGATAACCCAAATTGATACAAATTAATTATGGCATCCTTCTATCTTGGTGTTTATTTTACCTTATAACTGACCCCTTTACTTATATCCGAATAAAACTATAAATATAAAAATTCTTCAAAAATCTTATTAAAATTCTGATTTATTTCACATTATATTATTTATGATGGATAATTTCAAATGTATAACTGACCCCATTCCGTACTGTTTCTAACTTTTTACTTGCCATTCAATAGGTAGAAAAATATAACTTTAAAAATTAAAGTACAAAATAATAATAATGTTGTTTTATCATTGCATAAAATGAATGCATTTGCTTACAATTATGTGTTACATACATAATTTTAATTAGATAATTAAATCGTTAAACAAATAAACAGTTTATTTAATAAAAGAATTATTTATACAAATTTTCTATTCAAACACATAACATATTCGCTTTAAACTAACTACTGTGTATCGTTTGTAAACTATTTTTACAAAATTATATATTTTCTTGAAACTATATTACTTTAATAAAATAGAAAGAAGATAATAATAATAATGTTACTTTTATGCACTTAACTCGTTTTCTTTTGTTTAATCGCATACAAGAGTGCATTAGGGTGTATCACATACACAATTAATAACGAAGTTGCCAACAAAAGGTTTTGTCAACTAATTTGGAATTTGATCTCGATCCTTCTAAAGAATCAGAAAGTGAGATAGAACCAGTATAATTGTGTACATTATCATTGCAAAGTGACAAACTTTATTGCATGGATGACCTATGTCTGTTTGTTTTCTATCAAAATTATCTTCAAAATAAATAATTCTAAAATTTTACTATATCTGTCTAATAATGGTTATGGGTCATGCATGGATCAACAAAATAATCATAAGAGAGTGATAACATATGAACAAAACGTGATCTGGATTCTTTTGTTTTATAGCCAGAGGACTAATCATCCTTAATAAAATATAACTTTTGTGTATTTTTTTAATTTCTGTGGTTAATTGATGTTTCCAAATATGGAGAGAATATACCAAATCTATGTAGCAAATACTTCAATATTCCTCGGACAAAAAAAAAATCACTGTTCAACACATGTATATGAAAAAGAGTCATAAACAAGGTTGTTAATTACCTTTAGCCGGCACGAACACGAGTCCACTCCCAGAACTGAAATTTGAGGTGGGGTTGTAGCGTGCCAGCAGCTCCGCCGGCACACCGGATTCCGCCCCAACCCCTTGCAAGTCATCACCCAACCGAAGCGGGTACGTCAAAAACAGCCCATAATGCTTGGACACGTGTCGGTTTCCGCAGGAGCAGTTGATGGTGACGTTGATGTTGACGTTGCCGGGAATATGACTGGGCGGGTAACTGTTGACCCTTCTCACCCAATCCTCGGTTGTGAGGTTGGAGAAAGTGGTATCCGCAACAAGCGTGTAGGTGTCCCCGTGTTGGATCCGGTAGGAGAAAGTGTGCCCCAAAAACTGCCCGTTTAAGCAGTCGCAGGAGAACGGGACGTTGATCCGCGTTTGGCTGTGAATGACGTTGGAGTCTTTGACGCTTGGGTTGTACTTGAGAATCTCCGATGTGGGCTTTCCAAAAAGATTGCTGATGAATGTGAGGTTGGTGTCCTCCGGTATGTAGTAGGAAGCTAGAGCAAGGTTGCAACCAGAATCACAGTCAGCTTTGACTCTTGTGGAAATTAAGAACTGAATTAAGAGAAGGAAAAGATGGTGTGGCTTTGGTTTTGTGGTCATTTTGTGTGTTAGGGATCAGAAGAGTTAGAAGCTTGAGAAGTTGTTATTACACTAGTGCTTATTTTATGTGCAGCTTCATTGATTTGTTATATTATTGCAGATGGCACCGATTGATGATGTTATTGACGTCAATGTTGTGTGTTGAATGAGTCTTCTCATTGTTTTTGTTAATATATTGTGGTGTTTTTCTAATACTTTTGGGACGATGATGCTTATTTTTTAAATTTGTAGATTACGTGAAGAATGTGACTTCCAATTACGCTTCGGATGAAAAGGTATGGAGAGCAACTCCAAATGGCCGTGTGTTGGATTTTTAAAGATTAAACTATGAATCAAAGTTTAAGGAATTATACGTCACTTTTCAATTTTCATAATCAAATAATGGTACTAGCTTTTATTTTATATGAAACTTTAGATCTGTGCATACGTTTAGGCTGTGTATGTTTTTTTTATCTTAGTAAATATATATTATATTAAAAGATATTTAAATAAATATTATATTAAAAATATTTAGAAGTTGAAAATAATAATAATAATATTTTTTAATTAATAATTAAATTTTGAATAACAAATATGATGGTTTGTTAGTTTCTTTTTGTTTTTACTTGGGCCAGGTATTAAAATTTTGGTTAGAAGAGACCTTTTTTTTTACATTAATTATAATCATATTCAATTGATGGTAAGAAATTAAAGTTAAGCAAGAATGATAAATTCAAAAAATGAGGCCAGATGTAACCTTTTGGACTGCAGTGAGATTTTTGAGATGATAGTTGAAGAATAATCTTTTCAGAAAGAAGGCATACAAAGGATGTTTTCAAGAAATAAATAGAACTTTGTTAGATATATAGGAATAGCAACAAATGTGTCTCTTGTATGGGAGAAAGGTTGCAGAAAAAAATTCAGAGCGAAAGAGGTATGTCCTTGGAAGAACTGAAAAAGAAGAAGTTTCAAGTGGGTTCCACCATGGATGTAAAGGTTCTTGCTTAATTTTCCACGTAAGCTCAAAGATATTTCTCTACGTGGATAGAAGCATGTAGATATTTTTGGTTTTGCAGTGATTACAACCTCACCATGGTGGTCACATGCTTAAATTGGCATCATAAAAATTAAGGCCTTTTTCCAATATACATAACACAAATTTTTAACACTGCTTAGCCATGGAATCCTCTGCAACTCTACCTCTTTCTCAGCTTCCTTTTGTGTACCCTGCAACACCCAGGAGTAACAAAGCTTACCCCTTTTGGCCTTGCAAGCGAAGAAGCTCGCTGCCAACACGCTTACGCTGCAACAAGATGTATGTACCAGGTAATTGGTTCGGTTACTTTTCTACTCTGTTCCTCTTCTCCATTATGATTAAAGGAACTAACATTAACCACAAAAATACTGGCAATGAAAAAGAATTTGTCACTGATACATTGATTTGTGACCAAATTAGCATTAGTTATATGTGATAGGGGTTGTGTTATATCGATTGAGATGCAGGATTTGGAGAAGCATCACCAGAAGCAAAGGCGGCTAAACACCTCCACAATTTCTTCACCTACGTAGCTGTGAAGATTGTTGCTGCTCAACTTGAGGTTCCTTCTCCTTATTGGCTTTGACAACCCCTTTATTGTTGGATGAATTTTTTGTGAATTTATATAGAGAGAGATTTAGACTTCCAACGTTGTCAATCTGATCCAAGGCTAAATAATAATAACAATGATTTGTCAGTGGATTTACTTTGATCCACGTTGTTCAACTTAATTCAGTTTTTTTCTTTTCTTTAATTTAATATCTATTTCTAGTGATTAATACTTTTTTGTATCTAATAATGTCATCTGTCAAATAATATTTCGCGGAGCAGAGCTACAATCCTGAGGCATATGAGGAGCTGATTGAATTTCTTGGTAGACACTCGTTGAATGATGGTGACAAGTTTTGTGCCGCCATGTTCAGAGAATCATCAAGACATAAGAACTTAGGTAACGGCTATTATCAAGCCACTCAATCCTCAATTGGTATCTAATTATTAATATCTGACAAACAACTTTGTTGTGTATTGCCATTGTATGAACGAAATCTCCGAACTAATCTGGCACGTACATGAATAGCCCTACGCATAATGGAGGTAAGCAGATTTTTATATTATCCATCACCTGTTAAGGAGTTATGATTAAATACAAAGACGTATGATTATAGGTGAGATCAGCATACTGCAAAAATGATTTTGAATGGGACAACTTGAAGCGCCTAGCCCTCAAGGTTTGTAGCACAATAACGTTTATGTTCAGGAATCCTGCAGAAATTTATTCAACATTCTGTATGATTGAATAATGTTTATATTTCTGCCCTTATCTTCTTGTAGATGGTCACAGAATCTAACACGAGGCTCATGACGGAATATGTCTTAGAAACCAGTCATGTTGAAAGTGAGAAGTGAATAGTCTTCAACCAAAGCATTAGCCGCTTTATTCCTTCCGATCGAAGAGGAGCTAGGGCAATGTACCTATTTATATGTACAGAAAGAACTGACACGTTTATCAATCAATTTTATACTCCAGCATTAGCAAGGTTATGATTAAAAAAACAGTTAGATCATAGAATGGTTAGACAAATTTGATATACAAATTGATAATCAACAGATATATTGTTTGGTTGTGTTTAAAAGCTTCAAAATTTTAAATACACATTTGACGCATGGAATGTGTGAAATCCCTTTCGATTTAAGTCAAACCGTTTATAGAAACACACTTTTACTTGGGAGTAAAAGAATTGTCTGGTCCAAATATGTAAACATTCAAGCAGACATAAAGTATCATATTTCAAGACAAATATCGGTGCTTTCTTCAAGGCTTGATTCTGAAAACATATAATGCATAATTAATTATCCTTTACATCTGAAATGAAACACTGTCTAAGGATGAAACAAACAAGCAACAAGCATTACCTTCAATTCTCAATGTTCAAGGAAATAGTTTCTCTTTGATAGTTTACAGTTTACACTTTATGATTTCCAACCAACACAACTAAAATCACCTTCTTCACTAAGATATAGGGTTTTCTTGTCAGAATACCAACTACAAATATCACATGAGATGTATAGCTTGAGGTTTACCAAGCATAGTCTATTCAATATAACTTGTCTACTTCGCACCTCTCGTGCTATGCCATATAAAGTAGTGCAGTTTAGCAAATGTCTCCTACCCAATTTTGCCAAAGAATTGGATTGGTGACACAGTGTACTCCGGCAGAACTAATCAATGATTAAAGATACAAGCATCCTCGGTTTTAGAGTTCAATGCATTTGTCCTATAGTTTTAATGAAACCTTCCTTTATGCTCCGATCAAGCAGACTTCACAATTATTTGCCACTGTGGCTGCAAATGACAGCAAAGAGGTTGAGACAAAGAAAGGTAAAGGTTAGTGTTAATAAGGTTGTCCGCTGCCGACGACATTTGTTTCTAAAGCACATGCGCATATGATATTGTTGAAAATACGTTGAAGTTTATCTTCTATCAAATTTGAATTGATGCTAAGCAGTATCCGCTTCATCAACATAGTGATGTAGATCACTTGAGGCGTGAATTTCACCATTGCTGAAGTATGAATGGGCATATTCTTCTATGTGATCCGACCTGCAAAATTACGTGTCATTAGCAGCATACACTTCAAATTTGACCAAGTGAAGTGCAATTTCAAATTTGATCAAATCAATATATATATTGAAAATACTGTTAACCCTCAAAACAATGAAATGACAAGTACAGCCATTGCTCCTTTCATGTTGGTAAGATTTCCTAGCTTCACTAACAGAACCAAAACGGAGTGAGAGGAATTTTCATCTTAGCAAACAAGATTTCTTTGTACGACCAAAAAAGCCTTCACAAAGTAAATTGACTCTATAAGTGTAACTATGGTACGAACAACACAACACCCAGAGGACAATTACCTATACACGTAGTTCACCATGATCCCTCCACTTTGAGAAAGACCTTTTTCTGATCGATCAGCCATCCAATTTATTCTTTCAACCATCTGTCCACATCGAGAAGCAAAATTTTATTCACGCCAATTTAATCAAATTACAACTAAAGGATAGTTGCAGATAGGACACAGATTTGCTACATGAAAAGAACCATTTTACCATATTGATTATAGAGAAAGAAATACCAAGAAAACAACCCATACAATGACTTCCGCGAAAAAGCCATCCAAAGAGTATAACGTATTATATGGAAACTACTGCTTTCAGAATGAAAATAGCATTAACAATAACAATGAAATTAATTGGCTCTACATTATGGTTGTAAAACATACCGCTCCATTTTGCAAGTGAAAATTTGCTACAGAGTCCAAAGCTTTTCCTCTTTTCTTCTCTTTTAGAAGGTACCTGTGAAACCAAAAGAACCCCATATGCTTCCAGATTACTTTGACTTATAAATTATGAGTATTAGCAAGCAACCTAGCTCAATACGATGTTTCAAAGAAGTCATTTCTAACATGGCTTTGTTTTATTTCCCATAATTTGTTTCCAGCATTCCAATACCTGGCACACAAACGCATCAAAGGAGCTTTTAATGCTGAACGAAGTTCTGGAGAATGTATCCACTTAGAGGATGTAGAAGTAAGCAAGTTGAACATCAAATCCATTCCATTTTTTCCCGAGGCAATATCCCTGCATCTCATATTGACATTAGTCACTTGATAGTAACCCAGATACAAAGTAGGGGGGAAATCAGAAAGCAAAAAAGAAGAGAAAAAAAACTTAACCGCTGAATGTTGCAGTTAGTATTAATGATAGGGAATAATAACGGTTCCCGCAAGCATGACACGTTTCAAGGTCATATTTTGATTCATCAGACTACATGAATTGTGAACTTGCCAAATCACACCATAT